TAAGCAAATAATATTAGCAATTAAAATGACGTTTGAATAAAAAGGTCTTCGCCTGGTGCCGAAAAACAAATAACGACGGCGCCAGGCGGACCTCTCTGGGGAGTGCATTCCATAGATTGGGCGCCACCGCAGAGAAAGCCCTCCTCCGAGTACCTACCCTCCTAATTTCTTTCACGGAGGGTTCCCAGAGAAGGGCCTCTCCCACCGATCTCAGGGGGCGGCTGGGCATATATGGATGTAAGCGCTCCTTCAGGTAACCAGGACCCAAGCCATTTAGGGCTTTATAGGTCATAACCAACACCTTGAATTGGGCCCGGACTTCAATGGGAAGCCAGTGAAGCTGACGGAGGACTGGAGTCATGTGAGCATAACGCCCCGTCCCCGTCAGCAACCTGGCAGCTCTATTTTGCACCAATTGAAGTGTTCGGACCGTCTTCAGGGGAAGCCCCACGTAAAGCGTGTTACAGAAGTCTAGGCGGGAAGTCACCAGCGCATGTGTCACCGTCACCAGGCAGTCCTACTCCAGGTAGGGGCGCAGCTGATGGATCAGCTGAAGCTTTGGCATCCTTTGGACAACAGGCTGCAATAGCTCTCTTGCACAGCACATTTAGAAACAGGAACAGAGAGAGTCAGAAGGGACCTACAGGGTCATCTAGTCTGACCCCTGGCTCCAGCTGGCTCCAATCAGGACCTGCCCACCATGTGCATGTCCAGCCTGTCCTTGGACCCCCTCACCAGTGGGGCCTCAACCACCTCCTGGGGAAGCCCATTCCATACCCAGGGGTCCTAACTGTCAGGAAGTGCTTCCTGGCACCTAAATTGAACCTTGGCTCCCTGAGCTTGGCTCCGTTGGAGCACGTCCTGCCTTCCTCTGCAGGGGAGAACAGGTCTCTACCCACCTCCATGTGACGCCCCCTCACATACCTGTATGTCGCTAACATATCCCCTCTGAGTCTCCCCTTCTCCAGGCTGAAGAGACCCAGTTCCCTCAGTCTCGCCTCACACGGCATCCCCTGCAAACCGGCCACCAACCTTGTGGCCCTGCGCTGCACTGACTCCAACCTGGCTATATCCTTCCTGTAATGAGGGGCCCAGAACTGAGCACAAGGCTCCAGTTGCAGGCACATCAGAGTCATATAGAGTGGTAGTAACACCTCTCTTGATCTAGAAGCCACGCTTCTGGCTATGCAACCAAGGGTGGCGTTCGCCCTCTTGGCCACCGCATCACATGGCTGGTTCAGGTTCAGCCTGCAGTCAACCAGCCCCCCGAGGTCCCTTTCGCAAGTGCTGCTCTCCAGCCACTTGCCCCCTAACCTGTGCTTATGACGCCCATCAGTTTAATCAGTTGTTTGAGGACTTTGTTTCTTAAACAGGTTGTTTGATCAGTTCATGCAGGTTATTGCATTTTATAATTTGGTTTTAAATTGGTATCGAAAACCTTTCTAGGCTGTTTTTAATGTTTGCAGTTTTCTATTGCACGATTGTGTTGTAAACCATCTAGAGAGTTCTGGCTGTGGGGGAGTGCAGAAATTTAAACATAAAGTGCCTAGACACTCTTACCAGCCTGGCCAATAATAAAGAATGCTGGGAACTGGAGTCCCCAAAACCTGGAAATATCCACATTGGAGATTGGATGAGGCCGGGGACTTAGGGGCACAGATTAGAGTCACCCCCCTTGAAGTCGAGGGGCTCCTCAGGGCATTGGACATTACAAAGGCGCCAGGCCCTGACGGGTTACACCCCAGAGGACTTCAAGAGTTGGCAGGGGTTCTCTCACGCCCGCTGGCCTCCATTTTTGAGGCCTTGTATAGAACAGGTGACGTTCCAGAGGACTGGAGGGGGGCATCAGTGGTCCCAATTTTCAAAAAGGGTAGTAGAAGGGACATGGGGAATTATAGACTGGTTAGCCTTATGTCCATTGTAGGAAAAACAGTGGAAAGGCTCATAATGGAGAGAGATCTAGTGATGCTAGATAGGGAAGGGAGGCTGGCAGCCACACAACACGGCTTCCACAAAAACAGGTCCCGCCAGACAAACCTTGTGGAATTCTACGACAAGGTTTCGAGGTGGCTGGATGGAGGGGATGCAGTGGATGTGGTATACCTGGATTTCAGCAAAGCCTTTGACAAAGTGCCCCATGATATCCTGGTTGAGAAATTGGGGAGTTTTGGGATAGACCAAAGCACTGTCTGGTGGATTAGGGCGTGGGTGACTTAGCCTAGAGAAGAAACTCAAAGGGGATCTGTTGGCGACATACAGGTATGTGAGGGGATGTCACACGGAGGTGGGTAGAGACCTGTTCTCCCCTGCAGAGGAGGTTAAGATTAGGGTTAGGCAAAGCTCAGGGAACTGAGGTTCAACTTGGGTGCCAGGAAGCACTTCCTGACAGTTGGGGCCCCGAGGGTGTGGAATGGGCTTCCCCGGGAGGTGGTTGAGGCCCCATCGGTGCGGGTGTTCAAGGACAGGTGGGCATGTCGTGAGCGGAGCTGGCTGGAGCCGGGGTCAGACTAGATGGCCCGGGAGACCCCTTCCGACTCGCTCTGTTCCTGTTTCTATGAAATCCAGTTTCTGCCCACCTCACTTTCTCGGCTAAATGATGCCATCCTAAATCAGAAGCGATGCGCATAAAACTATGTGCATATACACAATTGCAGCTGGCTGAGTCAACATCCCATGTTCAGAAAACATTTCCTTGAAGACAGTCCAGCCCAAACTGGTGACAACATTAACATTTATTTGAAAAGGGCACCCAGACAACCCTACTTGAAAATAAGTCAAGCTCAACATCCTCGCCAGCGACTGACCTTTGCGAAGATCAGCAGCAACACTCGGGCTGCCTCTGCCCCACGCCCGGCGAGCGTGTCATGTGCCACAGACACCCACAACGGCACCACAGACACGTGCAGGCTTATCTGCTGCTGCTTTTGCCCACTTTCTGCCCCCAAATAAAATCAAACCTGACAAGAGAGACAACAGTAAAGACAAAGAGCTTCCGAGATGCGATGTCCAAAGTCCCCATGGCTTTTGACTGCAAGGCCTTTGGTTGCGTTTCGTAAACCAGTTTGCCTTTCCTCTGACAGCTACATCCAAATATTGCAGATAAAATGATCCAGCCTGTGGAAGGGCAAGTCCGGCTGAGGAAGGATCAGCCCGGCCCGGCCCTGGCAAAGGCCAAACCAGCCTCAGTCGCCCCTTGGAGGCTTCCGAGAGCGGCAACCCTTCCGGCATGTGGATGCAGGAGATCTGGGAGTCACTGTTTACCTGAACTTTCCAAAAATGCGACCTAGGTTCCTCCCAGATGCCTGAGCAACTTGGCAGTTATGCAAGAATTGAACTAGTTCAGTTACAGAAAGTAGGGAATACGCTGAGTTTTCACAATGGAGGGACACAAAGCCGGGAGACGGAGGAGGCAGTCTGTGCCAGGTGGGGCTCTTTAATGTCTTCATGAATAATCTGGACTTTAGGGTGACCTGGGACATGACCAGGCTTGCTGGTAACACCAAATCATTTAAGGGGGTTAAAACAGAGATGGACTCCGCCTGCGAAGATCTTGCTAAACCGGGGGAAACGGACATTAACATTGCAAGCCTGGCTCCGTCAACAAGCAGGGCTGAACTGTGCAACGTTCCACGTACGGACTGGACCCGAGTGCAGAGTTGGGGGACGAAGCTAGCGAGGCGGCGGACAGAAACCCCCGCCCAGTTCGCACGGCTGCAGGGCCCTCGGTGCTGAAGTCTGTACTCCCACGGGCACGATTTGCCCTTGCCAGGTTGCCTGAGGGCTGCTGCCTGCCCTGCAGCCCCCGCACTGCCTGGGGGGCACAGGGAGGGGGGCACCTGCCTGGCCGGCCCACCAGAAGCCCCTGCAGCTCTTCTGGTGCAGTTGGGCAAAATGGCTCAGCATCCGGTTCCAGTGAACACAGGCGAGCTCCACCAGGGGCTCGACTGGAAAAGAATTGAGCGGCACAGCCAAGTTCACGCTCCCTTCTACAAACCGGGATCCCCTCGGGCAAATCTTTGGGGTCACCCCACTCATTAACACGGGGTGCCACTCTGGTCGCCTCAGGAAAAGGCAGGCGAAAAGATGGAGGGGACCCCCCAGCGGGAAACCTGACAATATTGGTGGGGGCGTTGAGGAAAAATGCGAATCACGGGGGGGAGATGAGAAAAGGGCATGAAACGACGCATGGCTTGGAGAAAATGGATATTGAGAAGATAGGCCGGTGGGTGCCAGGCAGCAAGCGCTTCCGAGCTGCCTACCTTGATCGGCTCAGACCCTGGGTCCTGGGGGGTGGCCCCTCAGGTGACCTGCACGAGAACGTTCTCAGCTTTGAAGCTTCACACCCCCATTCAGAGCAGAGCCAAAACATTCTGGAGTCGCACAAAGGGCAGCAGCTGCGAGGGGAGGGCGCAGAAGCGGAAAATGAAGTTGCCATGTCGAGTGAAGATGCTTCTGCCCCAGCTGGGACTCCGGACTGCTCCGAACGGTCCTTGCCACACGCACAGAAGGGACGGCAGCAGTCGCGAGAGCGCCAAAATGCTCCCAAGAGGCACCGGCCCAGCCATGCATTTTTTGATGTGTATCCTGCCTTTTTCCTACAAAGGGCTCAAGGCAGCTGGCATCATTCTCCTCCTCCGTCTCATCCCCACAACCACCACCCTGTGAGGTAGGCTGGGCTGAGAGTCTGTGGCTGGCCCAGAGTCACCCGGTTGGCTCCATGGCCGAGCGGGGACTCGAACCCGGATCGCCTGAGTCCCAGTCCCACGCTCTCAACCACGACGCCACCCTGGCTCTCACCCTTTCAGTTCGTGGCATTTTCACACCATTCATGTAATTGCAAGGCTCCTTCGAAGCGTTGTGTTTACTTCTGCAGAGACAAGCATTAAAAGGAAATTTAAAAACCCCAAAAGAAAGTTGCCACCACAACTAAGAGAGTAACCTTTGGCTAAGGAAGCGTTCCGGACAAGGAACAACACGCCGAACGAAATCAGAGGCAGACACACCGAGAATAAATTTACTTTATGTAATGGATTATCCACACACACTTTCACTGGAGGGAGAAAACAGTCAACCCTTCAAGACGTTTAAAACAGCTTCAGAAAAGGGGGCGCCGACATGGTCCCCCTGGCACCCCCCACCCCATCTGTAAAAGGGTTTCTGGATGTGACTTTTGGCATGATGGGAACAAGTGGAGAACGATGAAGGAGAGGGAGCGAGGACGACCAGAGGGGTGGGTCGTGGGGGCTGCCCCCCCCGGGTCTGGAAGGCATCCGAGGGTCTCCTCCCGAAGTGGCTCATGCAGCTGGGCAGGGCTGCAACCCGCGTGGCCCCGGGTGACGCTGCTCGTGGCTCTGTCCCGCACGCCGTCCGCTGCTCAGTACACACAGAGGTCTGGGAACTTCATCTCGTACACCGGGATGGAATGGGCTTGGGGCTGGCCGTAAGCAGCCGTGACGGTGCCCGAGGGGCTCGGGGGAGGCCTGCAACCAGCGGAAAGCACAGGTCACACGTGTTCATGCAGCAGGAGTGCGGCTGTGCCAGTGCGGCGCATTGAGGCACATGGGCTGCCGCTGCGAGCAGCGGGGCCTTCTCGGCGGTGGCACCCAGCCCGGGAACCCCCTCCAGGAATTCCGTTTGTTTATTTCGCATATTTTCATCTTGCTCCTCAGTCAAGGTGTCTTTGCGAATGTTGTACATATTTAGCCAGTAAAACAAGGCAGGAGGCAGGGTGGCCTAGTGGTGAGAATGCTGGACTAGAGCTCTGAAGGCTGGGGTTCTAGTCCCTGCTCAGTTGTGAGGGTTGTTGGAGGATTTGGGGCCAATCATGGATTCTTAGCTTCAGGGAGGGGACCGGGTTAGGTAAGCTGCCCAGGGATCCTTGCAAGAGGAAAAAAAGCAGGATATAGCTATAAAAATACTGTTTAAAAGGAAATGCACATGACACAGAAGGAAAAAAGGAGAGGAGGGAAGAGGGAAGCATGAAGTCCCTCTTGGTGCTGCTCCCCCCTCACTGGCCTGCTGGGCAACCTGCGTGCGATGGCCAGGGGTGAGGGGAGTCCTCCTGCAGGGCTGGGGGCGCCTCCCCACTCGGCTCTCCAGTCCAGCACCTCTGTGGGCACCAGGTTGGGGAAAGCGGTCCTACACTGCACCACTGGGCCTTGCTTGCAAACGCACGAGGTTCTCGTGGCTGCGGGACTGAACGCCGGCCCAGTCCCACAGGGCGATCTTGCCCCCCCCCCCCACACCCCAATGTGCTCCACCAGGCCTACAATCTACCCCTCCCAGCCCTCCAAGCCAGCGGCCGCGATGACGCCAGCGGGCATCGTTCCCCCGTCCCGCACGGAGCTGCTGCCCGGCCTGGGCAGCCCCGCTTCCGTCCCCCTGCAGGCCACGGGCACGGACTCTTCCGCCCCGCCAGGCCTCCGGCCGTCCTCGGCAAGCTGCCCTCCACACCCCCAACTCCTCTTCCCGGGAGCGCGGCGCCTTCCCTTACCGTATGGTGATCTCGAATATCTGGTTCAGCTTGCTCTGGAGCAGCGTCGCCTGTAACGAGAAGGTGGTGGAGATCAGCGCTGCCGGGGGGAGGGAGCTGCAAGACGGACTCTCCGAGCATGCGCGGAATGCCTTGTTAGGGTTCCAAGGTATTCTCAGAGGCACCGCTAGGGTCGGACCCCCGGGCATCGGTCTGGGGACCTGCAGTCTGGAGGACCCCTGGACGGGAGGCTGTGGGCAGAAGCTGCTTCTCCTTGTCCCCCGGGACATCCTTTTTAAATCACACAGGGCTGGTTCAGCTGCCAGGGCCCCCTGCAACCTCAGGCCCTCCAAGGCAGCTCCGCCAACTTTCGGCTCCCTGTTTTCAGCCCTGGTGGGTTCCTCCGTGGGGAACGGCAGTGGTACCTGGCCAACCAGGCCTCAGGGGCCGTCCAGAACAGCCTTGTGCTGCCCGCACATCCGGAGGGCACCGGGACGGGGCATGCTGCCCCGAAGAGAGCGGACGGCCTCTCACGGCACTAGAAACTTGCATCTTCATCACAGTTAGTGGTTCGTTTCTGCACGGGAAAGCCTGTGTTTCCCTCTGCATTAAAATCAGCGATCCATTTAAAAAGCAGACCTGAGCCCTGGCTGCTGGGCCCATGGAGGCACCAGGGTGGGGAACCAGGCACTCACCCGGGCCCCGCAGTGGGCCGCGATCTCCTCGAAGGGCGCCTTCTGGAACTTCTCCACCACCAGCCGCCGCCTCTCCCGCTCCTGCTCCTGGGCCACGCTGTCCACTGCGGGGGGGGGGGGGGCAAGAGAGTCACGAAAGCCACGCCGGGAAGCGGCTCTCCCAGCGGGTCCCCGGGGCCTGGGCATGCAGAGGCCTCTGTGCGACCCCGGAAGCGGGGCTTCCCAGAAGCACCCCGAAAGAGCCGTGCTGGAGGGGCTATCGCGTCCAGCATCCCCTGCTCAGGCAGCGGCCAGCCACAAGCAGGGCTCGGGGCACTGGCACCCCCTGCCCATGTTCCCCAGCAGCCGGTGTACGCAGGCACACTGCCCCGACAGCGGCGGACCCCCGGAGCCTCCTCCCCGCCCCCGGACCCATCCAGTCCTTCTGAAAGCCTTCCATCGGCCCCCCACCACGTGGCACTGAACCCGCTGTGCCACGTGCAAAGACCACCCCCTCGGTCCTGCCCCGGGTTCAGCTTCATACGATCGCCCCAGCGGGGTTCCAGCCCCGACTGAGGGAGCAAAATGCCCCCCCACCACGTTCTCACCCCATTGCTAACGCCCCACCTTCCCACGTCTGCCTCCTGGCCCCTTTTCTCTGCAGGATGCCAGCTAACTCCGGCGTGCTGTGCTCTGCCTGGGCCCCGCACACCCTGGCGAGAGAGCCGGGGCTGAACGAGGGAGCCCCTCGGCCGGGTCGAGGTCTCCGTGCTGGAGGGGGACCGCTCTGGGCAGGCACCGTTGCCCTGCAGAGACACCTACCGATCGCTTTCTTCAGTGTTTCGTAGGTGATCTCTTCAGCAGGCGCTCTCTGTGCAGAGTTGCGGAGGGGGGAAAACGGAACGTGTTAGAGGACTGCTCACTCCGGGCGTGAAAAACGGTTCAGGCAGAAGCCCACTTCAAGAGCAGGCAAGGGCGCCTGCAGAGAATTTCCGGGGGGGCAACCCACACGTCCTCGATTCTTCATCCCCGTGGGGTGACCCCGTGTGCTGCCACCAGGCTGGGTGACCGTCCGCGAGGTTCCTCTGAGAGGACACACCTCGGTCCAGTGACTCAGGCTCCGGGGACACCCAGGCTGCCTTCAACCAAGGTGTGGGAGCGATACCTCTCGTTTATCCAAACGGCCAGTATAACCTGCTCTGACAGTGAACTGAGCATCTATTTATCCCTCATCTGTTCGGTTTACAGTTTTGCGTTGCTTTTCTCCTCTACCCGGCCTTGATTCAGCCCCACCCGTAAGAATAAATTGAAATCCGTTTACATGTAATCACTGCGGCGAGGGTTGCATTCGCCCAACAATGGAAGAGTGAGGAACTACCCACCGATGAACTGATCCTAAAAAAGATCCTGGACTGTGCAGAAATGGACAGATGGACTTTATCACTGAAGGAGAAAGAAGATACTGACTTCTGTCAAACTTGGGACTCTTTTTATTATTGGCTAGAGAAACGGGACTTGGCTTAGATCTAACTATGTTTCTAAATTATCATAAATGGAAAAAGAAGGGTGTGGGGGCTGACCCAGCGGGCTCGATGTTTTTGATGATGCTTGTTGCTCGTAGTTTTCTTTTTGGTTTTTTTTTTAGGATTATAATTTCAAATAAAACTTATTTTTTAAAAAAAGAATAAACTGAAATCCGCAAAGTATCTGACGAAAGATGTGATCTAGCGCACGTTTCAGCAAGAGAAAAGCTGGCTGTGCATGCTGGTAACTGTAGGACCTTTTCGGTCTAAACGTGCGTAAGGAAGCTCTCTAACTCACTTCAACGGCCCCAGAACGTGGCCGCTTGGACTACTGGGCACCTCACGCCGGTATTTCCCCAGTTTCCCTCCATGGCAGTGTGGGTCTGAGATGAACAGGAGACGCTGGCCTTGGTCTGGGCCCTATGTGGGTGGGGTCCAAATGACCCCCTTTGCCCACAGCACGTGCCCTCGCCTGGGCCAGGCACTGGGAGCCCCGCGTGGCTCCCTGCCTGCCTGCCAAAGCGGTTGGTCGGCTGAGGGGAGGAACAGGGCCTTCTCGGAGGCGGCCCCGCTTTACCAGCCTGGCCTTTAAAACAGTCTGTGCCGAGGCAGAGCCATGGCAACCTGCATCCCGTGTGTGTGTGTGTGTGTGTGTGTGGCAGAGGGCCTCAGTGTGGCCCCTTTCTCAGGCAGCACACCCTTGTGCGTCCGTCCAGCCACGAAGCTGGGCCCCCTCGAGTGTGGTACCTCCTCTTTCTCAGGGCTGTTCCTGGACTCCACCTCGACCTGCAGGGAGATGGTTTCGCCAATGCTCTTCCTCTTGGAAAGTCGATCTTCATCTGGAACGAGGAGGGGGCAGCCATGGGGCAAGGGCTCCCCCAGGCGGTGGGGCAAGGACCAGTGCGCTGCGCACGCTTCCAGGCCCGGACGCACCACCGTCCTGCAGCCTCCCTGGCCCTCCAGGAGAAGAATGCTGGCGACCGGCCACGCTCGGGCAATGCGCCACGGCTGTCCCGGCAGCAGAGGGCCGCTTCCCCTCCAAGCCCCGACGCGGCCAGGGGTGCGGGCAAGGGGCCCCGGCCAGCGAGGCCACAGGCACAGCCTCTGGCACAGCACGGCCTCTTGCCTCCGGGAGGCACCTGCCTGGAGCCGGCTGAGCGGCCCGCTTCCCTGGGGGCCTCCACACGTGCCCGGGGGCTCAGCCCGGTGCCTCCTTGTGCGCTGAGCGGGACCCTTGGGGGAGGCTGGGCCCCCAGCGAGTGGTGAGCCGCTCCGACATCTGACATACATCCTGCCCAGGGCTTTTCAGAAGCATTGGGCTACAATTCCCAGCATGCTGCCACCCGCACGGCCAGCAGCCAGGTGCGAGGGCAGGTACAGCAAATTAGGACCCCCAGGGTGTGGAATGGGCTTCCCCGGGAGGCGGTTGAGGCCCCCTCGGTGCGGGTGTTCAAGGACAGGCTGGACGTGCCCATGGTGGGCATGTCATGGGCGGAGCCGGCTGGAGCCGGGGTCAGACTAGATGGCCCGGGAGACCCCTTCTGACTTGCTCTGCTTCTATGCTTCTATGCTTATGTTTGCAGCCATAGTGGACTAGAAGCTTGCTTTGGAAAGCCAAAGGCAACGCTCTCCGGCAGAGGGGCCCTATGCCCCACTCGACATTGCCCCGCCCTCCCCAGCCCCCGCGGCCCACGCACCCCTCGCACCTGTCAGCTGCGGGACGTAAGGCGTGCTGAGCCTGTCCGAATTGTAGCCGCTCCCGCCCAGCACCTCACTGATCTTGCTCTGCCGGAAGAGGATCTCGGAGCCGAGGCGGTCCAGGTTCCTCGACAGCCTGTGGGGCGGGGGGGGAGGCAGTGAGGGGTGAGGCTGGGCCCACCCAGGAGCCCTCCGGCAAGGAGGGCTCGGCCCCCAGGCAGTGGGGGTGGGGGGGAGCCCGTGGCTGGGGGGGAGCTGAGCCCAGCCAGCGGCTGTGCCCCGTCGGGGCCCGGCCTTACCGGGGCTTCTCTGCAAACACGCCTTCGGGGAGCAGGTACGGCGCCTCCTTCTGCCTCATCTCAATGACCTGGAAGGGGAAAGCAGCGAGCGGGCTCAGCAGACGGGGCCGAGGCAGGTAACGCTCGGCAGCCGGGCGTCACACCTGGGCCAGCACTCGGAAGCCGGGGGGAGGCGGAGCTGCCCCCGCCTGGCCGGGCCGTGAGATACGTGGCAAAGGCAGGACCACGCGAGGCCACGGGTGGGCTCACCGGCGCCAGCCGCCCCGCACAGCCTCCGAGGAGGAGGGCTGGAGGGGCCCCCGGGCCCAGGCCTCGCCCTGCGTGCACTCCCGTGAAACCCACCCTCTCCGAGGGCCGCCCGGCCGCTCCTTGAAGGCCAGCCGCGTGGGAGAGCCCACCGCCTGCACAGGTCTTGGGTTCCACGGCCACACGGCTCTGGCAGTCCCAGGACGGGCTTCCCAGAACGCGAGCCCGTAATAATAATAATAATTCCGTGCCTGCCCTCCGGGATGGTCGGGACAAGGCCCTGCCGTCTTCCTCCGGACAAGCCTCCCAGGAGCCTGTGGGGTGCCAGTCTTCCCCTCTCCCCCTCCCTCACGGGGCCTTGTTTCCAGCGCCAGATCACCCTTGCTCCCCCTCTGAACCCGAGCCCGCCTGGCTGTTCCTGGAGGCAGCCAGCCCGTAAATGCCGGGACAAGAGCAGCGCTCGTGAAGAACCGGGGGCGGAAAAGACACCCCCGCCTACGTGGCTGCTCGCACGTCAATGCAATCGCATGTCCGCCCCCCCCCCCCGCGCCCCTCGGCACTGCAAGGACCTCGGGCTGGTTTAACGCTTCCTGCTCCTCCTCTCCCTATTATCTCTACAACCACCCTGTGAGGTAGGCTAGGCGGAGAGCCCACGCCTGGCCCAGAGCCTCCAGCAGGCTCCGTGGCAGCACGCCCCACGCCCCTCTCGGATGCTCCAGCCACGCCGCCACGCTAGCAAGCCTCCTGGCTTTTTCTCAGGAAACGAAACAAAAACCACTTTCCTGCGTGGGCTTTCCACCCTCCGGGTTCTTGGTGTGGCCCTTTGAGGCCCACGTGGCCCATCCAGCAACGGTGTCCTCTGCACACAGCCGGTTCCCAGGTGTCCCACAGCCCCTCCTCGGCACGTGGCGGGGCAGGGGATCCCCGGAGGGGACGGAGGGCCACCGAGCAGCGATGGCCACGGCCTTCCGTGGCGCCCGGCGGGGCCCTCTGTGCGGCTCCAGCCCTACCCAGCGCCAGAGACAGGGCTGCGCGCAGGGGGCGGTGCCGAGCCGGGGGCGGCGTGGGCGAGGAGGGGGCGCGGCGGGGAGCCCGTCCGGGCCGGTGGCAGACCTCGTGGATGTGCTGGCAGAAGGCGGGCACGGTGGTCAGCTGGCTGATCAGGTTCAGGTAGGCGGCGCCGAGGGCGTAGAGGGCGCAGCGGCTGTACAGCGGCAGGCCGTCCTCGTTCACCTGGGCCAGCTCCTGCGGGGACGAGCGCCAGGCGAAGCTGAGCCGCACGGGTCACCTCACGGCCGTGCAGCCGACGGCGCCGGCAGCTGTGGACGCCCGTGCATGGGCCAGAGGCAGCCCCGCGCCTTGCACCCGTGCCAGGGCCACAGCCCAAAGCGGCAGGGGCAAAATGCCCCCAAGTCTCCACCTTCCCGTGCTCAAAGCTCTGTGCCTTCACGCTTTCAGCGTGGGAAAAGCCAGGGAGCCACCCGACAAGCAGCGGTCAGAGAAAGGGTCGCTCGGGAGACCCGAGGGCCAGGTTGACGCTCCTGTGCTACGGGCAGGATTTGGACCCGGGATCCCGCGCACGGAACTCCGCCTGCAGCCTGCCACGTGGGACCCGGCGGTGTGCCCCTGGACACCCCCTCTGGATCCACCCATCCACCCTGCTCGAGAAGAGGGAGGGCTCGGAAGGCCTGCCGCCCCATCCCGCCGCCCTGCACCTACTTGCATGGCCAGCACCAGCCGGATCAGGTCCACCACCACCTCCTCGTTGGCCAGCTCGATGCTGATGAGGGCCAGCAGGCTGTAGAGGGCCTCGTAGTGGGCGCGCCCGTTGTCCGCCTCCTTGCAGGCCAGGTAAATGTGCCGGTAGAGCTGCTGAGCATGCTGGGGAGAAGGGGGGCATGGGGCGCTAGGCGGAGGTGCCTTCGGGGGGGGGTGCGTGCAGTGCTCCCTCCTGGGGGTGCAAGAGAGGCCCTGTGGCTGGGCAAAGCCCCTGCTCCCCAGGCGGGAGGTCACGGGCTCAAGCTGGGCCGTCTCAGGGCAAACGGACCCCGGGCCCGATCTTGGACCACCTCTGCCTGAAGCACTGCCGCCGCAGGGGAACAAGATGCGGCTCTAGCCAAGAGCCGCCCCCTCGCGGCCTCCTCCTCCTCCTGCAGGCCAGTTCCTCTCCGGGGCTGCGGGGAGCAGGTTCTACTCTGTGGGGGCCCGACAAACGTTCCGATACACAAAGGCTGCCCTCACATCTCCCCATAACTGACCCTTCCCCGGGATAAAAACTACCCAGCTCTTTGAGCGGTTGCCCACAAGCGCCAGGAGAGGGGCTCCAGCTGGCGCACGGCCTGGGAGACGGGCAGGCAGGAAGACCCTGGATAACGGTTTGGGATCAGCACGAATCTGCATGCCGCACTGACTCGCGGGGGGGGGGGGGCTTTCTTCCGGTGCCACGGCACCTCTGAAGGATTTCTGCTCCTCTTCCTCCTCCCGAGTCTTTCTAAACTGCTTTCAGTGCCCCCCAAGCCCCACTTCTTGTGGGAGAGTGCCTGCGCCTTCATTCGGCGCTGCGTCACGCCCAGCTGGCCTTCCAGACTTAAACAAGCAATGCGCAAAACCAGAGCAATGCTGACTTGAACATCCACCAGAGCAAAAGCCAAGTCACAGTCAGCCAAAGAGAATATTTCAGGATGCCAGAAGTAGAATCTGTCCAATACGGGAGCAGCCACTGAAAACGTCAACCCCGAGAGGAACCGAGGTTCAGCTAAACGACTCTGGCCCATTTTCCACAGCAATGGGGATTGGCATGGTTTTTGCAACACTCCCAAGATCCAAACACTGTGCAAACATCAAACTCCTAAGTAAGCCAGGCCCTTTCCACAGAATGACTGAAGGCTGGAAGAGGACGGACAGAGAGCAAGAAGCAACGGGGGTGGGCAAGCCAAGCCCTGCGAGCCGCTTTGGAAAGCGGCCTCCCCTGACCGGATGATCCCCAGAGGCCTCGGACTACAACTCCCATCGTGCCCAGCCAGCCATGGCTAGGCAGCTGGGGATGATGAGAGCTGCAGTTCCATGCACCTGGAAGGCTCCAGTGGGGGACAAGCTTCCCCTGACCGGATGATCCCCAGAGGCCTCAGACTACAACTCCCATCGTTCCCAGCCAGCCGTGGCTGGGCAGCTGGGGATGATGAGCGCTGCAGTTCCATGTACCTGGGAGGCTCCAGCGGGGGACAAGCGGCTCGGAGTGGTTGCTCAGCGGTGGCCGGATCCACCCGGGGAGGTGCGACCCAACTGAACGGCGGTCTGGAGGAGAACCCCGCCGAGGCAACACGCTGGAGCCAGGGTGTGCGGCACACTTGGCTGCACGAAGGGAGCTGTGCCAAAGCCCCTGCACCAGGTGGGGACACCACCCCCGGCCGGAGGGAGCAGACCTGCGGCTTGCTCTCCGACAGGTGCAGTCAACCCCCCCGCCCCCCGCAGGAGAGCTGCGTGCCCCCCAGCCCCTGCCCGTACCTTCTTCATGAAGACGGTGTCCTGTCGGGAACACTTGTCCACTTTCAGCTTCAGGACGGAGATGTCGCTCAGGGTGCTGCGCAGAGAGGGGACAAGGGCTGACGCAACGCGGGTGCAAAGACCGAAAGCAGCGAGAGCAGGGAGAGAAGCCCCCCGGCGCTTGTGGGAGCACGTGCCCCTGCGAGGAGACCACTGAGCCAAGGAAGGAGCCGGCAAGTGCCATCACAAGCTCATTGCAGAAAAATCATGCAAGTTATCGCTCAGTTTTAAAGAAAATTTATTGGATGTAAAAACCGATCTGCTTGGCAAGCGACGTGTTTCTGTGGCCCTCGCCTTCCTCGACCTCCTCCACCTCAGACACACGGGCCAGCCTTCCCCAAGCCGGTGCCCTTGTGGTCGGGGGCCATGCCCGCTCCCAAACACCCACGTGGGAATCTGTGAAGAAATCCCCTGCAGAACTGCGGCTGCCATGCAAGGGGACTCTGCGTGGCCCCAAGGAACAACGGCACGTCCGAGGAGGGCTGAGCCCTTGTTCCGTTACTGCCGAAAGACCGCGCAGTAGTTGCTTAGTGATGTTCTGAAAGGGGCGAGAGACAGAGACCCCTGACCATTTGCATGTTGTTAAATGGAGCCCGGATCAGACAAACAGGGAAACAGAGCAGTCAGAAGGGGCCTCCCGGGCCATCTAGTCTGACCCCGGCTCCAGCCGGCTCCGCTCACGACATGCCCACCATGTGCACGTCCAGCCTGTCCTTGAACACCCGCACCGATGGGGCCTCAACCGCCTCCCAGGGAAGCCCATTCCACACCCTCGGGGTCCTGACTGTCAGGAAGTGCTTCCTGGCATCCACCCTGAATCTTTTCATTTCTGATTAGCAAATTCAGAACAAATTCCCTCTGATTTGCTGGAGATTTTACCAAGATGGAAAAAAGCAGTAGAGAAATGAGAGCTGAAGAGCGGACAGGTGAGAGTCTTTCTATAGATAGGCTGGACGTGCGCATGGTGGGCATGTCGTGAGCGGAGCCGGCTGGTGCCGGGGGTCAGACTAGATGGCCCGGGAGACCCCTTCTGACTCGCTCTGCTTCTATGTTTCTACGTTGCCTGTGGTAGTCAGAGGGGAGAAGGTCTGCTGGTTGACATGGGCTGTTTGGAAAGGTCAGGAGAAAGCTGAGGGGAATGTGAATACCGAAGGCCCAAATAGTGAGCTATTCTTCTGGGAGGCCTAAGCAGAAGACGCAGCCGGTGCCCGTGGGATGCCAGGAAGCTCCCCTAAGACCTTGGCAGAAGAAAGTTACCCATGCAGGCAGCAGTACAACGGGTGAAGTTTTGGGAGATGGGAGGAGGCTGTACTGACGAGATGGACCCGATCGTTGGGAGCGTTTGGCTGGGATGCAGGTTTAGGGAATTTGGCGTCCCGCAGTAAACACCTCGCTCGAACCCATTCCAGTGGCACCTTTAGGGAAGCGTGAGGAACTCCGCTTGGAAGTGGGGAGCCGCTGGGTTTCCTCAGCTCAGCTCCCTGTGCTCTGGCCAGTTCTTCTCTGTCCTAAGTCCGCCTCAGGCCAAGTGCTCGCACGGGCATCGGGCAGAAAGCTAGTTCAAGCCGAGTGCGGCATCGGCACGTGACTCGTGGAAGTCACGTGTGTACCTCACACGAAGAAGGTGAAGCCTCGCGTGCCCGGGCGGTGGCGGACTCCGCGGGGGCTCGGCTGGGCTGGCTTCCTGGCGACACCAGGGCCAAGCCGGGGAGGAGACCTGGCCGGCACAAAGAGCCAGATTCCGGCTGGATCTTCGCATCCCGAGTCCCTTTCCTGAGTCAACCTTTTACAGAGTTGATCCTGTTTCCAGGGCCGGCGCCCCAAGCCGCGCGAGGGCCTTAACGCACGCAACGGAAGCGAGCGGCTGGGGAGGAAGGCAGCTGGCTGCGGAGCTCTGAGTTACAGTGGCAGGGAGTCCCGCGGGCCCTGGCGCGGCTCCCCCGAAGTGAGCAGCCCCGGAGTGTGGGTGCCCAGCGAGGGAGCAGCGGGTGCAGCACACGCACGGGGCGCCCGTCCCGGGTGGGTGGCAGGACCGTGAGCGGCCCGCTGGCCGTCACCGCTCAGGGTGGCGGAGGGTCCCCTCCCCGCTCTGGGCCTCGAGGGCCCTGCAGGCTGCCCCACGCGCTCCCCGTCCAGGCGGGAGGTGAGCTGCGCACCTGATCGTCTGGAACTTGTGCTTGTTCCCGTGGCGGTCGATGAAGCCGATGAGGATCTGCAGGACGAAGAGACGGATCTCCGCGTCCTCCATCAGGGCCGCCGACAGGAGCCGGTCCAGGAAGGAGCTGGGCAGCGCCGTCAGCATGTTGCCGCACCGGAAGCCGGTGGAGACCTGCGGATGCCGCCCCCATCAACCCTGAACCCTGCGCGGGAGGGCCGGTTTGTGGCACCCCCCCCCACCCCGGGGCCGGCTCCCCCAGACAGGGCTGCCGCTCCGCCACGGCCACGCCGGCCGGGAGCGATGGGGCCTGCAGTCCTACACATCGGGAGTAGCCGGGAGGCAGAACCAGGGGATGGGGTCCCCCCATCTGGGACTAGGCGCTTTCTGCAGATGCCCTCTGCCCCCCAGCATTCAGGGGCTACAGCCACACTGAATGAGGGGGTGCCCACGCACTTGCCCACCGTGCCCCCATCCGTGCCCCAAAAGGGGGGGGCAGCTGGGAGCCAGTGAGGGGGTGCGAGGGGGCAGCAGGCACCCGGGCCCGGCCCGAGCTGGAACCGTTCATGTCCCCTTCATGGGGAAGCCCACGGGGGCCTGAAGGGGCAGCTGGACCCAGGCCCACCACCCACCGCCCCCGGAGCTGCCCGATGCCCCATTCCGAAGAGCATGCAAGGGGGAGGCGTGCCTTGCCGACCTGCAGCAGCGATTTCAGCAGCATGACCTGGGTCAGGCGGTTCCTGTTCTCCCTGGAAGGAAGAAGACCCCGGTCAGGATTAAAGCCAAGCCGAAGCAGGGGGAGCAGGAGGCCACCGCCGGGAGGGGCCAGAGGCGGCTGGGGGGCTGCCACGCACGATCCCCGACCCGCTGCTGGGGAGGCGCCATCCAGGCGGGAGCCCCTTCCACAAAGGCCAAATGGGCCCCTGAAGCCATTTTGGGGGAAGGAAACACTTCCTTGCCCCCCCCCCCACTGTACCTGGGCTTCCCCTTTCACGTCAGCCCAGAGAATGGAAGGTGACGGAGAAGGGCGCCAAGTGCGGGGGGGCGCAGCAGTGCTCCCGGCCGGAGGCACCCCCCGAGGTGGCGTGCCCGGGACCAACACGGAAGCACGAGCGTCTCTTGGAACAGGAGAGCCCTGAAACCAGGCCCCCCCCCCCTCGCATCAGGACACTTGAGAGGCCGAGCGGTGGAAAGCTCTCTTTGCATTACGGTTCCTTGCAGGGGCCGGGGGAAGGGAAGGCAGAGGCGGCGAGAGCACAGGGGGCAGAGCAGGAGGAAGGGGGCAGAAAAACGGTGCTGTCCTCACCCAGCCTTGCCCGCGTCAAGAGGGTGGTGCAGAGATGGGAGCGGGACCTTGCTCATGATAAAGAGCATGACCTCCGACCTCTGGTAGGTGGGCAGGGTGCTGGCAAAGGAACCTGAGGAAAGACAGAGGAGGAAGAGCATGCACAGAGGGGGTCTGGGAGCCCAAGGCGGGGCGGGGCAGGGCAGGATCCTTCCCCCTCAGGCAGCGCTGGCCGGCGGTGACCGAGATGCTGACCCACGCGGATCAACATCTTTGGAACCGAAGGAGCAGGCTGGATCCTGACCCCACTTACCGCTGAGGAGAGAAACAAATGTGCTTTGCCCTGACTAGCTCCATTCATGAGGACTACTGGCTTAGTGGTTTTAAAATGCGAACTGGAGGAAGAGGAGGAAGCAGCGATCACAGAGGTGCGGCTGTTCTCTCCAAGTCCTTCCCAAGAGCCGTTTTTCACATTTGAAGTCCCAAGTGGCTTGGAGCCAGAAAGAGCATCTCTTATACACCCACCTGGACCCAGGATCATCTCCAGGCTGCCTGGGCAGAGGGCCTCGTAAGTGTCGGCACCCTGGCAGTGGAACGAGAGACCGGCCCTGTGCCCCCACCGCGCTTTTCGGTGCCGGGTCCAGAGCATCTTTCTTCCCCAGCTTTTTGGGAACTGCTCTGAGTGCTTTCAGATCACGCACTTTTATTGCTGCTGGGCTTAAGCACACGCTGCTTTTACAATGCGCAGCTTATCTCACCGCTTTGCTCTATCCAGCACATGCCACTGCAGAGAGCTTGGGTTTAGTGGTACAACCAACTACTAAAGAAACGAACATCAGTGATTCCACATGTAACAACTGTGGCGAGGACTGCCCTGGCCCAACGTTGGAGGAGTGAAGAACCACCAACCGACGAACGGATTCTAAAAAAGATCTTGGACTGTGCGGAAATTGACAGATTGACTTGGAATTCCTTTTATTATTGACTAGAGAAACAGGACTATGCATAGGCTTAGATATCTTTATGGATTGCTACAAAAAGAAAAAGTACGAGGGGCTGACCCAGTGGGTCTGATACTTTTGATGATTTTTAGTTTCTTTTTGTTAGTAGAAAAGTAACAATAAAACTTGCTTTAAAAAAGAAAGAAATGAACACCTGCCTGGTCCAGAACCGTTCATTCGGTGCTCTTCTCCCTTGTTGCTTTTGTTGACAAAACACAGTGGGGAGAAAATCGACAGCCCTTCCCCTGGCCTTCCCCAACTGGGGTGTCCCCCAGAGGTCCTGGACGGCGGGTCCCCTCATTCCCAGACAGTCTGGCGGTGGGAACTTCATCCAACACAACTTTTAACGGACTGGGTTGGGAAAGGATGCTTTCAAAACAGCTGCTTTTAAGCAATGCACTGTTTAGCACTGCTGGAAGGGACATCCCTGGGAAAGACGGCTTGCATGGGGGGGGGGGGGGGGGGGTGAAACTGGGATTTGGGAGAAGGAAGACAGAGGACAGCTCTCAGTTGTGTCCACTGGACTCCCTGCTCGAGGAATCGTCTTCTCTTCTGGCGGCAGAAAACGTCTGGCTAGGCAGAGCGCTCTCTGCAGAGCCCCACAGGGCTGGCATGGTCCAGGGGCGCCACTGCAGGGCAACCCTCGTGGCCGGGCCACGGAAAGGGCCACGTTCGGCCCCAGCAGCCCTCTCCTCTGCTCCTCCCCCATCGCACGAACAGCCTCTCCCTGGCAGGTCAGCGAGCCACAGAAGCCCCTTCCCGGCTGCCTCTCGCTCTGCCCGCAGACCATCCCCGTGCCAATCCCGACCTCTGCTGGCCACACGCCGAAGCCGCCCGCCCATGGCCCCTCCGGCACTGGAGCCCCTCCTGTGCTTTATCCCCCGATCTGCAGCTCAGCGCGGAGCCTGCTTTCCCGTGGGGACCAAGGGGAGTCCAGCTCAGTGCGCAAGGAAGGCCTTTCCCACTGTGCCACCGACCGGGAACGCGGCTCTGGGCCGAGTCCAGGCATCCGGGCTCGAGGACGCGAAGGAAGCCCTGAAGCACGGCATGGAGTCTCCTTCAGCCCCGGGGCCACGTTCTGGGCGAGAGGCACCCTCAAAGGCCACCTCGGACAGGGCCCAAAGCAGTCACTTCCCCTAGTGTAAAGCTCTTCTTGCTCCATCTGTTTTTAGGTATGGCATTTCTATACCGCCCATCGATGAAGCTCTCTGGGCAGTTATACAATTCTTGCCAGAGGCTTTTCTGCCTTTTAAACTGGGGGCATTCGGCCCTCCCGGGGCCCCACTTTATGGTGGGCAGCTCTTTTTCCTCACAGGCTCCTCATCTGCAGCAGCACCAGGGGCTGGGAACAGCCGAGCCCCCTGAACTCGGCCAGCTTGCCCCTGGGAAGAGCTGACCGGCTTTTTCATGTGTCTCCCGATGTGGAGCAGAAAGAACTCGTGGGAATTTTTAACTCCGGTGTAGCAGAAAGCAGAAGCGACAGAGTCCCCCATCCCGCTCTGGCTTCTGGGGATGGCGGCAAGGCCCTCGGTGGCCTTGGGGGCTGCCAGTGCCGCCCAGGCTGGCTGGGTGCCCTGCCTCACTGAGGGCAGTCCTCTCTTTGAAGGGCTGTCCAGCCTGAGTCCCGTCTAAAGAGAACGGACCCAAGAGGTGCGAGCAAGGAAGGGCCCTGAAGGCAGCCACCCAGCTCCCAACTGGACAGAGGGCCCCCCCGGCCACCCCCCTCCCCCCACACTGGGACGTCCTTCTTGTCCAACGTTTTCCACACTGCATCCAAGTAGTTGCTGCTTTGCGGCGTATTTGGGGAGATGGGTGCACGCTGGCCGGCCCTGCTGCAGACTTCCGGAACGGGCACTTCCCGCTCACGGTCTCCCTCGCCCGGGGTGTCCTGGGGGGCGCCAGCTGCTCTTGTCCTGACGTTACACGCAGGGTGGCCTTGCCCTGGAATGGCTGCGTCGGTCCTCCAACCAAGAGCAGCGTCTGGCAGGAGGGACCCCCTGCTGTTTGGGGGCGAAGGGGTGGCGAGAGCCCCTCCGGCTTCTTGGCCTTGAAGCCATGGGGCAAACCTCTTGTCTCGCACAGACAACGCTGCCCATGTGCAGAGTTCAGCCACGGCTCCATCCTGCCCATCAATGCCGCCCCCCCACCCCACCCCAGCCCGCCATGGCTCTTCCCCAGCCTCGCTTCCCGCCAAGGGGTTTCTAACTCGGGGGTGTCCGACCACCTCCTGCCAGAGGAATACACTCTGCTTTCAGAGACGCTTCGGGGGCCCAGGTCCCAGTAGTGGGAAGGGCCACAATGTCAAAACGAAAAAGAAAAAAAACAGCTCTGCCATTGCAGTCAGAAGGAAGAACTGAGTCTCAGAAGAGGCATTTCAGATTCAAAACATCAAAAAGCCAAGCCGCACCAACCCAAAAGACCAGGCGTGTGTGGGCCGCCCAGGAAGTCTTGCAGGGCCGGAATCAGACTCCAGGCAAGCCGGGGTGGGCTCAGGAGCCGACGCTCAAAGCCTCGGCCCGGCCTGGCAAGTCTGGGGATCAGGCCTGGCCCTTTTGACATGCTCCAGCGCCAGACCCAAGTACTTCCAGCCGGCCCACTGGCTCTTTGTGCTGGAGAAGCTGCAGGAGAGGCAGCGCTGGGTGTGCTCCCCTCCTGCCTGCCCGGAAGCAGCGAAACAGCTGAAGGCACATCGGGGCAGAGGCGGCTGGCCGAGGCTGGCTTTTCCCGGGAAATCCACTCCGTCTCGCAGCACCCTCGCTAGTTGTTCAAGTGCCTGGGCTACAGCCAGGGATTTTAAATGGGCTGATTGCTACAGCGGCTGCTTCTTGCACTAATTATGATTGCATGTAATAATGACCGCTGCGTGAGCCACTGGGGTCTGGGTGGGGAATGCCAAATTAAATTAACACAAGAAAACTCAGTGAGTCAGTGGACACAGTGGCTGGCAGAAACATTCCTCCCATCTTTGATTCCTCCACGTTCTCTGGAGACACAGCCAGGACCTGAAATGCATCGCTGCCATTTGGCCCGCAGAAGAAACGCAGCATGGGGGGGGGGGTGCAAAGCACGTTTGCCGCGGCACGAAAGTTAAATACCAGAAACAAGCGGGCACCGTGGGCTGCTGGAGGACTGCCCTCCTCTGCCGGGATGCACCCAAGCAGGTCCAGGGCAACGATCCCCGGGATGCCGCCCAGGGCTGGCCTTTATGGCCAAGTGGAGAGAAAGCAAAGCCTCCTTTTGCTGCGACCGGCCAGAAGCCCCTCTGGGGCGACTCACGGCCTCCACAGGACTGTGAGTGCAGCTGAATGGGGCCCCATTGTGCACCATTCCGGTGCCGTCTCTGTTGCTGGATGGCCGCACCGTTTGCTGGAGAGCAGATCTAAACAAACAGCATCACGAGATGAAGGAGCAATCAAAGCTGTGCAGAAGTTGCTTCGGGTTATAAAAACATTCCCAAACATGCCTGCAGCAACACTTAAATCCAACAGTACAGAATGGAAAGAATATGGCACAAGCATATTCTTTTCTGACTGGGAAAGATGATCCACCAGCATGACCAGGTGAGCAGGGCATTAGCTAGAGAAGCAACCAAGAGGCTAATGGTAACTCTGGAGAAGCTGGAGAGAGCCACAACTAAGACGGGAGAAACCATCCATGGGGCACTGGTCACCCAGATGTGCCACGAAGCTGGTCTTTGTGGAAAAGTGGTGAGAGGAAAGGCCGTGTTGAAGCAAACCCATATCAAAGCCCACCTGCAGCATACAGAACGTCATGGGGGAGGCACAGCAAACGGGCGGAAACCAGTTCTCTGGCCTGATGAGAGCAAAACGGAACTTCCTGGCCTGGCTGCAAGTGGTGGCACCAAGTCAGGAGTGCTCGTGCTCGTGGGGTCAGGATCGCCATCCCCACGGTGAAGCACGGGGGTGGCAGCATCACGCTGGGGGGAAGCGCTTCCTCAGCGGGAACTGGGAAACTGGCGAGGACGGACGGCAAGATGCGTTGGGTCCAGTGCAGGACAACTCTAAAAGCAAAACCTGTTTCAGTCTGCAAAGGACGTGGGAATGAGGTGGAGGTTCACCGCCCAGCAAGAAAACGGCCCTAAACGCACAGCCCAAGTAACACTGGAGTGGTTCATAGGCGTCTTTTTCTGCCAAGACTCGCTGCTGCCACCCAGAGACCCCCCCCCCCCCCGGCAGAGCTGCAGCAGGAGGAGGGCAACACCTGGAGGCGCACAGCGGAGAGGCCCCTGCCCAGCAGGTCCGGCAGCTGGAACTGCTGCCGAGGGCGCGTCGCCCACGCAGGGACTCGGCGGGAGCAGAACCTTCTGCCCCAGGCAGCGCCTGCCGGTTCCCGTTGGTGCAGCTGCAGTGCCACGGCACACATCCGCACATCCCGTGCGCCTCCGGTGGCGGCCACGCCTATCCCACGGATTCCGTTCTCAGGGTGTCAGAGGAGGGAGGAGAGCTCCTGCGAGGCCCCCAAGGCAGGTCACCGGCGGGCCTCGCACCTGGGCCACTCAGATGCCTCCAGCAACGACTCCCGTCTTGCGGGCGGTCGGTTGGCCACTGGGTCAGCCGAGGGGGACCAGCACGTGCCCCCTTTGAGCCAATGCTCACGGGGCTGGCCACTGGTCCTGCTCACCGTTGGTGGTGGGCCCGGGGCCAACCTACATTTTGGAGGGGCTCTGGTGCTGCTATTCCAGGGGCAGGCAGGGCCGCTGGCCGAATTGGGGGGCCGAAACGCCGGCATGCCTGAGCTCAAGGCTGTCCCCCGCTTCTGGTAATCAGCCCCCCGAGGGGCAACTCCCTTTCAGGGTGGGAAAACTTCAGAACCATCCCAGGACTGGCGGCCGGAGGAGGGTGCGGCCCCTGGGGCACAGCAAGCTCACGTCCAGCCGTCTGCAAGTACCCGAAGTGCCCCAGGGCAGACAGGCGTAGCTCCAGCTGGCATTTTTCTGGTTTTTTTCTGGGGGGAATGCTCATGGGTACCACCTAAAAGTACCAAGGATGGAGATGCAAGCTTGGAAAGGGATTGCAACCACTGAATCAGCCAGCAGGGGAAAGGACGTGATCCGGGACGCCTGGGATCTTCATGAGCATCTGAACTGGGCAGCTGTCCGAGTGGGACGGTGCAAACTGGTGTCCTGCAGCAGCAGGGGGTTGGACCTGAAGGCCTTCATGGCCCCTTCCAGCTTGCCATTCTACAATCTCTGCTCTCTTTACACAGGGTCTCAAGTTTCTAGCTCCTATGCTTTCTGAGACGTTTTGTGTTCCTGGCTGTGCCCTTTTGCATCCAGCGTAAATAAAGACAACATTCCAGGGGCAGGACTGGGGTGCCCCTTTGGTCTCCTCTCTTGCCTAAAGGGCATGGAACGAGGAGAAATGAGAAGCGGGTGGAGAGAAGCAGGTTCCGCAGATTCGCAGGCCCTACCGTGGCTGCGGGAGGCTGGAGAGGAGAGCAGCGCCCACGGGCCCGGGCGGGATTCCTCCCTGCTGCCCGGGAGAGGGGGCCGCCGCGGGGCGCCCGGCGTACCTGTGGTCTTGATGACGGCCTCCTGGAACATCCTCTCCTCGTGCTCCTTGATGATCTTCGTGCCGCCGGCCACGGCGCAGTCGTAGCTGCCCGTGAGCGCATAGTCGATGCTCAGCCGCAGCTGCCGCAGGAGGGTGTTGAAGACCTCCAGCACGGTGGGCCCTGCAAGGCGGGATGGCGGGTTCAGGGAGCGTGGCCCTCGCCGGGAAGGCCAAACCCCCCTCGGTCGCCGGGGGAAGCGGAGCAGAGGCGGCCCTCCCACGGCGGGACTGGCCGGACCCCCCGCTGGGAGGGGATTGAGGTTCTGCTGGGGTCCCCTTCATGGACTGTTTGCACACACGGGGTCCCCGCTGAAGACACCCCGGCGCTGCCCCGTGGACAGCCAGGGGTCTCCTTGTAAATTCCGAAACTTCCCCGCAGCCACCCGACTGCTGCGCAGAGAGCCCGAATTCATCCGCACAAGCTGGCCCCTCTGTGAAACCCGCATGCTGCTGCCCCCACCTTCCCGCCCAGTTTGGGGCCAGCACGGCCCAGCCTGTGGCTTCCACGGCACGACAGCTGGCAACCAGAAGCCGGCCGAAGCACCGCCGGGGGGGGGCGCTTCCCCCATCCTCTCCCGGCCTCGTCTGCCCTCCTGCGCAAGAGGGAACCCAGCAGGAGGTGGCCAGTTCTGAGTGGCCAAGGGGGCAGAAGGCGATCTCGCCCCCTCCACCACTTGCCCACCTCAACCACCAGTCCCCCCACCCCCCCGCAAGAGGTGAACGCTTGCAGGAAAAACGGGGGAAATGGCAGGAAATGGAAGTCCGTCCCAGGCTTCCAAACTCCCGGGAAAAAGCCCTGCCGGGCTCCTTCCCCGCCTGCTGCTCCCGGCCCTTCCACGCCCGCACAGCTCCGACACACAGATGCCACACGGAGCGCTGTGGCCGGCTCTCCCGCAGCAGCGCTCTTGCCTCGAAGGCCCCCGGGGGCAGCTGCCCCGCTGGGCCCCCTGCAACGCTCCCCCTGCCTCACCCGCGGCATGAGAGACCGGCCCTGGCCGGCACCCCGGGCACAGCAGGGGGCCTTCCCCGCGGGGACCGCCTGGCTCCTTACCAACAGAGCCGGAGGCCGCGATGATGGCCGCCTCGGAGAGGACCTCGACGATGCCGGCGCGCACGGTGGCGGCGCTCTTGCTGTTGGTGTCCAGGTGGCTCAGCAGCTGCTGGATCACCAGGTGGGAGTGCTGCGGCTGGAGGCGGGGGGAGAGGAGAGCACAGCGTGGTGAGAGCGGCCACCGCCACGCCACGGAGGGCTGGAGCTGGCCGCTGGGGTCTTTCCGCTTGCCCGGGCCAGCGAGCGAGCGAGCGAGCGGGCAAGCAAGAGACCTTCCTTCCAGTTATTTTCAACTCCCCTTTCCATCCTAAGACATCAGGGAAGTAGCTAAGGAATTGGGACCGTGGGAAGTCATCATGTAACATGAGAAGACCATACCAAATCACAGCTGGAAAAAGCCCAAGAGTCGCAGAAAAATCGGGGAAATCAGCAGGGCAAAGATTGGCACTGGGTGTGGAATTTAGCCACCTGAGGAAGGTCTGCTTCCATTTAAAAACTAAAAAACACAACCCACACGCCTGTCTCCCTCGGCACGGGAGAGAGGCGACGGGGAGGGGCTGGTTCACCTTTGAGACGTGCATTGCAATATTCTGGGAGTTGCCCCCTTCTTTTCCTTGGATTGGCTCTAACCCAGAGCCAAGGTTGTACAGACCCAAAGGTAAGGGAGGGTCTCTCTGCCCAGGTAAACTCGATGAGTCTGAGCTATGCTGAGCACCTTCTTGTTGCTGGAACCGCTTCTTTGGAATTCTCTCCCTGCTGAAGCTAGACAGGCCCTGAGGCCACAGACTTAAATTCTTAAATGTTGTTTTAAACCTGACTTTTAACTGTTTCTACTGCACTTTTAATGCTCTTACATTTCTCTGTATTTTATATGATACGTTTATTGTGTTTTATCGCCCATCTCCACTGCCCAGAGCGCTTCTGCTATTAGGAAGTACAGAAAGAACGAGGCCAGCCGATCAGCAGGTTCTCACCTGGATTGAATACATGATGATCTTGAAGCAGCGAATTGCGAACGTCTTTGGCTCCCACAGGGAATGGTTGTCCAGGTGACTTGCGGGGAAGGAGGAGAACAGAAGGCACGTGAAATCGCCGCCAGGTGGCGGCTGCAGAGCGCAGGACCCGGCCGTCCGCAAGAGCAGCTGTCCAGGCCTGCTTGGACTGCAACACCCAGAATTCCCAGTTGATGGCCCTGCTAGATGGGAATTCTGGGAGCTGCAGTCCAAATGCCTCTGAAGGTTGGGGAAGGCTGGACGAGGGCGCTCCAGTAAAAGGCACTCCAGGCAGCCAAAGGGCGGAGGGAGCAGCTTTCTGTGTGGACCTCATCCTTGCACCAGCACCTATCTGCCTGGCCCCGCTGGCCGGGCATCATGGGCGCTGCAGTCCGGCACACCTGAGCCGCCCACCTGGGGAAGGTGCGTGTGGGTGCGGCAGTGGACTGCGGAGGCTCCCCCAGAGGGGCTGGCCTACAATGCCCATCTGCCACTAGCAGCGCTGGTCAGGGCTGATGGGGGTTGCAGGCCAAAACCACCTGGAGGACCACGGCCTGCTCGCCCCTGGGTGAGAGCGTGTCCGGCTAGGGGCAGGGAGAGGTGGGCTTCGGCCGCCCACCCAAGGGGCTCCCTCGGGGGCGGGGGCGGCTGCTCTCCTGCCCAGTGCCAGGCTGAATGGGGAGCGGCGAGAGCGGCCGGGTGGGCGTGCAGGCCAAGCGCTCGGGGCCCCCTGGGGACTCACATCAGCACGGGCCGGATGGCGTTCTTGATGTTGCCGTAAGCCGCCCGGCCCAGGAGCTCCCGCAGGCACCGCTCGGCCAGCTCCGCCGGGTTCTCCTTCTCCTTCTCGGTGGTCTGCAAGGGCGACGGCGAGCGGCTACGGCGAGCAGAGGGGAGGGGAGGGGAGAAGAACGGATGGCAACAGGACTTCACACCGGGGCCCAAACACCCACCCCGGGCACAAGCGGGCCACACCTGCACATGGAAGTAAACGGGAGGCCTACGCTCGGGAAGGTTTGCTCCTACGCTGGGGCAGCCGTCAGCCCCCACCCGCCCGCTGGGGACGCCCCCACCCGTCCCTCGCATGGGCCAGGCATCCAGATGCGCTTCTGCACCGGAGGGACAACCGGCAATCGCACAGGGGCCCCCAGGCAGAGGAGTCCTAATTATGCGAAGGGTGGGCGCCGAGAGGTCAGCTGCCGTCCCTCCAACGGACTCCGGGGACTGGGCAGACCTGCCCCCTCCTCCCAGCGCGAAGGCGGAAAAGCCCGCAGGTCGCCGCCGCCGCCGCCACCTTTCGGCCTCCTCCACGTGCTGGAGGTTGAAGAGCAGCGACGGCACGATCTTGTCCATGTGCTGCGGGTCCCAGATGTTCGCCTGCAGCTCGTCGTTCACGGTCTTCCGGACCACCCCCTGCAGGCCTTTGATGCCGGACATGCGGATCCTGGGGCAGAAGCGAAGGGGGGCCACGTCTACGGAGGGACTGGGAAGGGCAGCCCTCCTCTGTCGCAGCCTCGCCGGAAGCCCTGGCCCGCCACAGGGGCTGGCTCTGCACACCTGGGAAGGTGCGGGCGAGAGCGGTTCCCTGCAGCCGGACGGGGAGCGCACTAGGGGGCCGGCAGGGTCCGGGGGAGTCCTTCAGCCGGCCCCTGCACCCTGTCGGAGGCGAGCAAGTCCTGTGCGTGACTGGGCAAAGGCCACAGGAAACCGTAGCCCATGCTCAGGTCCTACAAATATTTGAACATGGCTGGGGAACCAGGGTTCCATTTGGATGCCAGGAAGCACTTCCTGACGGTTAGGACCCCGAGGGTGTGGGATGGGCTTCCAGGGAGGTGGCTGAGGCCCCATCGGTGTGAGTGTTCAAGGACAGGCTGGATGTGCACATGGTGGGCATGTCTTAAGCGGAGCCGGGGTCAGACTAGATAGCCCAGGAGACCTCTGCTACTCGCTCTGTTTCTGTGCTTCTAAATACTTTGCAAATGAGGGCCCTGTCCTTGCCTGAGGTTGGCTTGACTGGCTCCAGGTACGTGCAGGGCTCTTGCCCGGCCCTTGGCCACCGCCCCGCTTGGATGCGGCCCCTGGCCTGCCCCCGGGACTGCTGAGACCTTGCCGTGGCCCTTCGGGCCGACCACCCGTGCCCTTGTGGGCCTTTGAAACGGCAGCTGCTGGGCTCCCACCCGGGGAACGCGGCACGTCTCTCGGGCGCTCTCGCCCGTGTGCGTTCGACCCAGGAAGAGGCAGGCACGGCGGGGGGGGCGGGGGTGGAAGAGAGAGAGAGAGAGAGAGAGAGAGAGGGAGGGAGGGAGGGAGGGAGGGAGAGGGAGGGAGGAGACAGCCGAGGCCGGTGCTCCAGGGTTACTCGGTCCTCGCTGATAAGCCAGTCTGTGCAATCCAACCCCCCTCCTCCACCCACCCCCCATGCAAACAGAGGGCCACCAAATGCAGCCGCAAATTCTCTGCGGATTACAAGCCGCGCGCAGCTGTCCTTCCATTAGCCGGGCCCGAGTCGACGTGCCAGATCAATTTAACTGGTCCAGCGAAATTTGCAGCACGAAGAGGGCGGGCGGCCGCCCCCAGCCCGACTTACAGACCTCAGACATGCACCAAAGGCAATCGGGCAGGCGGGAACAGGGGCGACCCGCTGGACGGCTCCCGCGCCAGCTTCTACGGGCCCGCCCCAGCCCCGCCGCCCCTGGCCGCTCATGATCCCGCAGCCTTGGAAAAGCTTCTCCCGGCTTCACGCTTTGTGGGGAGGGGGCAAGCCAACTGCGGAGGACGTTCCTTCCGAGAACGGGGGGCGGGGGGGCGGGGGGCCAGATCCGCGGCAGACTTGCCAGACGATGCTTGTTCACAGGAGAGCACAGAGAAGCCCAGTGCTCTGAAAAGGGGCCGCAGCGACTTGGCTGGCCCCAGTGGACATACCCACCCCCCCCGGCCCGGCTCTATTCATAATTAATCCTTTGGGAGGGGGAGCGCTGCCCGGCCAGGGGGAGTGGGTCCCTAGCGCTCACGCGAAACGTGGCTGCCGTTCTCCACGCTCCGCTCCGGCTGTTGCTCTTTCAGACGCTAATCCCGAGGGAGCGCCGCTTCCGGAGTCCTTGAGCACCCCCTTCTGGGAAGTGTCTGGGAAGAGAAGCTGGGCGGGGGGCGGGGGGGCAGGTGCAGAGGGGAATGCATCCTGCAAAGGAAGGGCTGAAGGACGTGGGCCTGCTGAACTTGGAAAGGCAGAGACTGGCGGGGGGACCCTCTTCCAGGAGCCGCAGTGCCCCCCACACGGAGGAGGCATGGCGCCCACCCCCAGCGCAGAGGGCAGCTCGTGGCCCAGCGGCCGAAGCTACAGAAACAGCAGGACAATGTGCGTGACTTTATAAGCAGTGTGTCCCTTTCAGTCGCTCCAGGTGCCCCTGGGGGGCTGCACCATCCCCCCCACCAGGAGCACATCTGTTCCGGGGAGGGAGGCCAGGCAGACGCGGGTGCTGGACGAGGCGGGGCGACAGCGAGGGGCAGAGGCCGCCCCGGGGCTTTCCGGGCCCCTCCTGCAGAAGAGGCGCCCACGCCCGGCTCAGCCGTGGCACCGAGAATGCCGAGGGGCGCTGGGAGGGGCACCCCCGGGGCCAGAGACCCTCCCCGAGGGGCGCGCGGGCCAACTCACTTTGTCCGGGTGTCCGGGTCGTCGTGGCTGGAGTGGCACATTTCGCTGAAGCGCGAGACGAAGAAGTCGTAGCTCCGGTGGTAGGAAGGGGTGTCCTCCTCGATGTTCGCAAACTTCACGAACTGCAGGCGAGGGGGGCGGGGGGTGGCAAAGCAGGAGGAGAAACATGCGTCAGGAAGGGGGCACGCCCTCCCCACTGCCCCCCGGGGGGCCCGGCAAATGCCGAGCTGTAGGAGCAGCAGCAGCATGGCCAGAGACCGCCACAGGCCTTCCCTCCGCACGGAACCCCGCAAACCCCCGCTCCCGGCCCACGGAGCCCCCGGGATCCTTCCACGAGGCAGCCTTGGGCCAGCTCTGCTCCGGGGAGGAATGGCAGGGGCGCCACCTGTCGCCACCCCCGGCTGGACCCCCCCCCCGTGCCCAATGCCGCGGCTTCCTGTTCAGGTGGCCCCTGCGTGCAGAGCACTCGGCCCGCTCATCCCCGCTTTGGCCGGTCAGGGGGCTGGCCTGGGAGCCGGGAGGCGCGGGTCCAGCCCCCACGAAGCCGTGAGGCACCCTGGGGGGCCATGGGCCCCCCACTCCCAGCCTCACCTGCCTCACGGGGCTCTGCCGTGCACATGGAATGGAACGGAAAGGGCCGCACTGGGCAGGGCCCCCTCCAGCTCTGCTGCTCTGTGACTCCAGGATGCTCGATCAGCTGCTCCCGGTTTGTCGTAAGAGGAAAAAAGCTGGGGCAGAAATGCCAGCCACAGGGAGCAGCATCCGCGTGCACAGGTGTGCACAGGCACCGCCAGCTCTTATCCTCCCCGTTCCCTTCCACCCAATGGGACCTGATGTCGCGGCGGCGGCAGGCGGGCAGGCGGGCGGGCAAGCAGGTATTCACACATAATGTGCCTCTGACCTGCATCGTTTCCTGGCGCAAGTGTGCGCACAGGTGTGCGAGAGAGATGGAGTCACAGGTGCGGGGCCCTGCTTGTGCCCCCCGGCTCATTCAGCAGCACTTCGGGGCCGGCGGGGCGGGGAGCCCCATGCAGGCCGTCCATCCTGCTCCAAAGGGGAACGACCGCTTTGCGACCCCGGAACGGACTCGGGCGCAGGCAAGGGGGGGTGCCTCAGGGGAGAGGGCAGCTTCCACCCCCCCTCTCGTCCACTGTGGGGTGGGGAGGGCTGGGGACCGAGCAGCGAGGCAAAGCAGAGGCCCCACTTCCAGGGGCCAGGGTTGGGCCCCCCCAGCGTCTTACCCCCAGGGGTACCTCTTCATTTCCGGGACATACACTGGCCCCCTCCCCGAGAAGCGAGTCCCACCTGCGAGCTCTCGCATCTGGCCTGCAATGGGTGCAGCTGAGGAAGTGGCTTGCCGCCACACAGCAGAAATCGATTTTTATTACCTCATTTTTTGTTTTTATCATGTTTATCATTCTCCCTTCCTCACCTTTCTACCAAAGGACCAGCGGGCGGCTGAAGGGAGGGCTTACCCCTGGCCCCCCTTCTCTCTTCCGCTCCTTTCGGGTTTGTCCTCTTTGCCAAAGCAGCTTGGGCTACTGTTTCCCTTGAGGAAGGGAAGGGGGTACACCGCCCCCCCAAGCAGGGCCAGGTTTGCAGGGCCAGGATGGAGAAGGCTCCTGGGCCCCCTTCGCCTCTTGGAGGGGCAGGCCACAAGGGCAAGGGGGCCGGGCCAGAGATGCCCAGCACGCCGGCAGTTGAGCAGAAAGCATTCCCTACCCATAATTCAGCCCGAAGAGCCGCCGGCCAACGCGCCGGACAGGAAGAGCCGCGTGACGGCCAGGCCCCACAAACGACCGGGTTGCGGCGAGGGAGGGAGGCTTCCGAGGGCTGGACTGGGGCCTCAGGGAAGCCGCCTGGGGCTCTGCCCCCTTGCTGAGGTCGGCGGGACACACATGCCTGCTGGAAGCCCAAGCCCCGCGGCACGAGGTTCCCCTCGAGCGGAGCCTTGGACTGCGACCGGAATGGGCTCCGAGGCCACAAACGCCGGGCGAGGACCTGCAATCCGCCCCTGCGATCCCAGCGCACGGAGCCACCGTGCCACCACTGTCACGCCGCAAGAGAGTCCGGATTCTCCCCGCTAAGCGTTTAAGATCCCGCTCCCACGAGAGCGCGTGGTCTTCTCCTCTTCCGGGGAACGAGGAGGGCCGGCTTGGCTCAGCCTGAGTCGTGCTTCAGTGGCAGGCGTCCCGGGGGCACCGAATGGACCCCCCCCCCCACTCGCTGGGTCCACCGGGCTCCTCGCAGCATCCGCTCCACTGCAGGATGTGCACCAAAGTTGCCCCGGCTCAGTCCTTGCGCAGGGCAGGGCCCACAGCAACCCCCCCACAGCCCGCCTGGCCCCAGGTCGGCCACCTTCTCACTCCAGGTCAAGACAGCCCTCAGCCTCGCCGGTTACCCCGTGCTTTTCTTGCTGCTCTTCTTTAATTCTATTTTTACTGTATGTTAAACCATTTTAAATTCTCCCAACGCTGTTATTTTATGTTATTTGCATTGCATTTTAATGTTTTGTTTTAGCCGTTGTTTTAAGTTGCCCAGAGAGCTTTGGCTATGGGGCAGCACAGAAATGAAATAAATGATAAATAGCAATACTAGGTCATTCCAACGGCTGCAGCACTTCCCACCGCAGTTAAGGGATTTCCAGAGTTTGGTGATGATTCAGCAGTGAATTCCTTTGCGAGAGAGAGAGAGAGAGAGGGTGCAGGGGGGGAGGCAGGCAGGCAGGCAAAGCTGTGCGGGGGAGTCACCCAGCCACCCCATGTGGTTCTCATGGCCACAAACTCCTCTGTCAGCAGGAGCAGGTTCAACAGAAACAACCTGGCACTCCTGCGAGCTCAAAGCGTCCCCGGGGTATTTCTCGCGGCCCTCGTGCCAGGCCCGTCAGCACCATCATTTCCGTATTTCAGGTGCGAGGCTTGAGGTGCAGCAACTGCTCCCGCCTTAGGGCCCCAGGTGGGTCACACCTGAACAGGTGGCTTCTTGCCACAGCATCTGCTAGCTTAACTACTGGCTGAGTTTCCAAAGGAGCCCACAAGCCCTCCCTGCAGCTCCTGGACCCACCTTGTCCAAAGGACCCCTGCCAAGGCTAGGCGACCAGGCGCCTCCAGATACTGCAGACCACAACTCCCATCAGCCCCAGCCCCCACCAGGGGCAACGCTCGGGAATCACGGGAGCTGTGATCCAAGCCTTCCGAAGGGTGCCCGGTGCCCAGCCCCACCCGAGGGCGGGCTTACCGAATTGGTGCCGAGGATTTGCAGGTCGGGCTTCTCGGACTCGAGCAGCTTGGCCACCATCTTCAGGAAGCTCTCCACGAAGAGGTTGATGCTCTGGCAGTGGCAGGCCATCAGCAGCTGGTCCAGGGCCTCCATCGCGATGCACACGTACCTGCGGCGGAGGGAGGGAGGGGATGGCGAGCGCGGCCCCCGGCGCGGCCCCATCGCGAGGTGCGCTGGGAGGAGCGGCCAGGCTGTGGCCATGCGCCACCTTTCGAGGCCACCACGGCAGCGACCCCGGAGCACAGCCCCTCCCCAAGAGCGCTGCACAGACAGGCGGGTAGGCAGGCCCTCTCCCCTCCAGGATCGGGGCCCTGCGCTGGGCACAGCACTGGAATGGAGGTGCGGAAGGCACACGCCGCAAGAGAAACACATCGAGCGATGCTATTTGGGGGGGACCTGCTGCTCCCCGGCCACTGCGCTGCTGGTGACCGAAGGCACGGGGGCTTCTGCCACCCCTTCAAACGCAAAAGGAAATCCGGCCAGAAGAGATGGGGCGGCTTCCTGTGGCTCATTCACCCGCTGCTCTGACACCGTTTTGGAGGAAGAGGTGCAGAAGAGCAGGAATGAAGGGGGGCAGACCCACGCTGCTGTGGGGGGGGGGCTGCCCAGGGAGGAACGCATCTCAGAACTTGTCCCGACACCCCTCATTTCCGCCAGGACGACCTGGGCCTGTTTCCGGGCACGGAAAGCATCGTGGCGAGCTGCCACGAGCCAGGAAGCTTTTCTGGACAGGGGGATGCTCCCCCCCCCCCCGGCAGGGGGCAGGACGACAAAGTGGAAGAAATCTCCATGTGCCCGGAAAACGACCGGGCTGGCCAGTGAACGCTGGACTTCTCCGCCCAGCGACTGCTTTCTACTCGGCAGGTTCAGCTGGACGGAGACGTCATCTGTGCTCGGCCAGCGCAGCCTGACACAGACGGCTGGGCCGGGACGGGCCGCGGAAGGTGGGGCCAAGAGCGCTCGCTCGGCCATGGGTCTGGCTGAGTGACCCTGGGCCAGCCCCAGACTCGCCGTAAGCTACCTCACAGGGCTGTTGTGAGAGTAAACCGGAGAGCAGGGGGACCCTGTTCCTTGCAAGAGGAAAACTGAATTCTGCTCAGTTTAGAGTCCCTCGTTACAGGAAGGACATAGCCAGGTTGGAGTCAGTGCAGCGCAGGGCCACAAGGTTGGTGGCCGGTTTGCAGGGGATGCCGTGTGAGGCGAGACTGAGGGAACTGGGTCTCTTCAGCCTGGAGAAGAGGAGACTCAGAGGGGATCTGTTGGCGACATACAGGTATGTGAGGGGGTGTCACACGGAGGTGGGTAGAGACCTGTTCTCCCCTGCAGAGGAAGGCAGGACGCGCTCCCTGAGCTTTGCTCCGTTGGAGCGCGTCCTGCCTTCCTCTGC